GCAGGTGTCCTGCGTCTGACCTCAAAGTGCACGAGCTTCAAACTTCAGCGTTGGCTGCGATTTTGAAGCTGAAATCGCGTTCGGTGTGAACGCACCATAATTCTTTCAGATTAACTCCGCTCCACCAGATGGCGTTAAATCTTAGCTTTGCTCCGTTAGTGCTAAACTGAATCAAACTCTTTAGATGTTTAATTTAATAGAATACAATAGAATATATCTTTATTTCAAAACAGTCATAAAACAAACAAAAAAATAGACACAATTACTAATGCAAAAATACACATTTTGACTAATTTATAAGGTCATCTGTATGAAAAGGAGTAGGTTGAAGCAAAACTTATATTGTCCTACACTTTCCTTACTTTTCAATTAATCAATATTATTTAGATTTTTATTTCAATTACTGACTGATAAATAYATACAGTGTATATATATTTATATATACAGTATATATGATTTTTCAAGATTTTTTTTTTTTGCACAGTCCTTGTCTATGACTATCACATTTCATTTTGTTTGTTTGTTTTTGTTTGTGTGAAATCAGAAACTTGAAGTCAGAGGAGGTCCCACGCTGGGCTGCAGGGTGAATAAATCAGAATACTTTTTCAACACCACTGCAATTGCAGTGCTTTTGCCAATCTTGTTTTTGTTTTAATTTAGTAATCATGACACTGAAATAGACAAAGAGACAAAATAGAGAAAGCTGTAACTTCATGCTCATTTAGTTAGAAATAAAAGTTTAAATCACAAGAGCTGCAACAGACAGCAAACTTTATGAAAAATGTGTTAACTTTGTTTAGTTTGATTTTTTAAAATTATTATCTTAGTTTAATATTAGGCAGCACTGATTTTTTTGTTTGTTTTTTAGAATTATTAGTCATTCAAATTATTCACCATATTGTCATGTCTATACTCAGAAAAGGCAAGCTCTTTATATTTGAATGTCCTTCATATGGGTGTGCATTGTATGCTCACAGCCCACACCTTAAACTGAAACATGCTTCCAAATATTCCACCTGCATCAAACCAGGAAGTTCAATCACTGATKGGGGGCGAATTTGGGTCAGCAGGACCACCAGAACAGTCATATCATTGCATTATTATTTAAAGGTAAATTCTGTTTTCACACATTATCTCTTTGCTGTATGGACTGAGATAACACCGGCTGTTTAGCCACAGGTTGCTGCACAAAGATAGTGTTACACAAACCTCAGACTGTGTCGAAACACATCCTTTCTTTGGTTTAAAAAATAAATGTCTGATGCAAACGTGACACTGTGTAAAAATCTACAATCTCACATCTGCTTAAACCATTAGGAATTTTCCAAGATTTGTCTTGATTTTGAAGGTGAACCTTATTWTTGTTAATTTTCCCCTCTCTTATTTTAAACATTAGTTTTGCTCCATTATCCAATGTATTCCTACTTTCTTTAAATGTGGACAATGATTGCTGTTTAATAAACAAAAACCAATAAAGAATATTTCACATCATTTTTCTCAAAATAGAAACAAATACCTGTATATTCCTTTGGGGTCTTGGAGTTGACAAAACAKCAACAGAAAAGAGCTTCTTTTTACTTTTTACTTTGTTCGTATTGAGCAACTCTAAATTTGCCTCAGTTTGTGTCCTGTTCTCAGATAACCCCTCTGTCTGCTGGTATGTCAAGTAGCCCTTTCAAGTTGCCATGTTGACTGCTTTATTTAGCCTAAGAAAATCTAGGGAGCATTCATGCACCCATTTATCTTCTTTCTTCATTCTTTTACCTGCTTTTACTGAACATCTTGACACTTTGACTTCTCAGATTTTGAGACAGTAGTTTAAAAATGTTTTTATTATCTCATTTTATTAACTTAGAAATTTATATGCATCCTAATTGCAAAACGGTGTTCCTCGGTATCCTATTTAGGCATTTTTTTTCCTTTTTTAATTGCCATTCTTTTTACATCTAGAAAGCCCTGTTTTTGAATCTAGAAAAGAACATTTCTTCTGCACACTTAGAGGCACCCTTGTGATTTTGTACGCTCACATGGTGAACATGTTTTAACCTTCTTTTCTTATAATTATGCAGCTTTCAAAGGTGACCCTGGTGGAGGAAAATCAGACCATTCACATCCTGTATTTATCACAGGTGAGAATAACTGTGAAACTTCTACCCTCGACCACTCCATATTCACATTTTATGTGGATCCAAATTACAGATAAAGACGCTGTCCACACTGTATTTTTAACTGATTATCCATTCGAACACTGACATATCCATGCCTTGCCAATAGGTGACAAGGACTTTCAGGTTAAAGACATAAAAAATACAGAGAAAGAACATTCTTAACTTTGCTAAAGATTTTTATTTTTATTTTTTTTACGAAAGCCGTTGAAGCTACTTGTAGTTTGTTTTGATATTGCTCAAGGTTCACAGGATCAAAGCTCACTGGTGACAGGATCAGGATGAAGCAAATCAGGCAAATGAAAGCTGCTTAAAACTACAGCGTTGTGTTTTGGGTTTAGGCACGAAGTAATGGGTGTGTGAGGGCAAAAAACCTGCTTCRTTATTGTTTCTAAACAAATGCCGTATGTCACACATGACTCCATCAAAAACTAAAAGCATTTTTCTGCAAAATATTAATTTTTCTTTTCACCTAAACTGAGTTTGGTTGTGAATGGTAAATGTAGCAATAATAATAAGAATAATAAGAATAATCAATCTAAATATGTTTTTTTCCTTTATATTTTGAAATGTTATTCATGTGTGTGTTTTTGCCACCTAGTGGTACAGCTCAGGCATCTCATAAATATTGTTTAATCACTTGGAAAGAAAACAATATATATAATATAATAGTGTACATGGGACCTCAAGCTGCAGTTTTCACACACAGGGAGTTCCCTTTCGTCGGAGCTTGTATCGATTCACTGGAATCACATTGACTAATTTAGTTGCAAGGAGGCTGTTCTGTTTAAAAATAAAAAAGAAAGAAAGAAAACTAATTAAGACGTTTTCGAAGATAAGAACATAGTTTGAGTAGGAACTCTGTCAATAAGTAGTAATTTGTCATCAGAAAAAAAACTCAAACTTTCAAGTTTGCTTTGATTAAAGTGTGAGTGTGTGTGGGGGTGCGTGTGCATGTGTGTGGAGGGGGGCAGTGTTCCCATAAAGACTATAAAGACCATTTCAACAATAAAGATTGTATCCTCCATGAAAACCTTGAACAATAACAAATATCTCATGATGTTCATAGTATCAAACACAGACAACCACTTATTGTTAATATATGTTGCTACATGTAATATATATGCAAATTCCTTTATGTACCCAAGTGAAAACTAAATTCTTCTAAATGAACAGATAATAAAAGTATTAAAAAATATTGTGAGTTCTTATTGTTTCTGTAGAACAGTATAGGAGGCACATTTACAGCTGCACAGCAGCAGCTAAAATCCCAGCTCAATAACAAGTTATTTTCTACATTAAATATTCACTACTTGCTGCGCACAACTGGCTTATCCAATAAGTTTTCAGAGCGCTAAGCCAATTCATCAACGAAATCAAGTCCTCCTCGGCTGAAAAACACTATATTATCACCCACTCTGGAGCACAGCCCTGGGCTATTGAGCAGTGTGAATTCAACGTGCTTTCATGGTCTGATCAATGTTCTCCCTGGATAGTCTCCCCTGTGTAAACAATACAGTAAGCAGTTTGACTCTGCGGATGGACTCTTATTCATCACCTCTAAAGTGAAACTGTGGGAGATCAGTGGCTGAGAGCTCGGCGAACACACGTGGAGAGCAATTCAAAGCAGAACACGGCCAGGAACCGAACACCTGCTCTTAAACTCTGTTATTATTGACTAAGTGGTAAAATCTGGTTCTTTTTATGAATACCTGAAATCTCAGCAAAGCAGGGGTACAAAGAGTAAGAGGTCAGGATAGAAAACAGCWTTATTAACAGCATGGCAATGCAATRCACAAGAGCCTCCACAGGTTTGTGTAAGAGATGAAAAAGAGTCAGGTCTCATTTCACACAAATCAGCAAGTAGTCTTTGTTAAAACTGAAAACGTATAATTTAATCTATGAAGAGTTTAAACTTGTGAGCTCTTTTTAGCAAGTTTATCTTAGACCATCAACTAACTAAAATATTAAGTATTTTGATTGTTTGTTTGTTTTTTCCCAATATGTGCAGGCTCATCATACCTGAGGAAAAATGCCAGTTGCCCTTGGTGGGCCTCAAGGCTACACACCCCCTGAGGGTGGCTGGGGTTGGATGGTGGTAGTAGGGGCCTTCATCTCTATTGGCTTCTCCTATGCGAGTGCCAAGTCGATCACTGTCTTCTTCAAGGAAATCGAGGTGATCTTCAATGCAAGCAGCAGTCAAGTGTCCTGGATCTCCTCCATCATGTTGGCGGTCACATACGGCGGAGGTGAGCTGCAACCCAAAAATACAAGCGGCCACATGTGGGTTTGTTATAACGCTTGACCTTTAACACATCAGGAAGCTTCGTAGACTGAATCAATGTCTAGCTCTTAGCATGACTGGGAMAGATTTTTTCCTGCTGTTTTTAGTTAAAAATCAATCGTTTTTTTCTGAAATGCAGACATACAGAGAGGCTCACTCTCATTTTGTTCATATTGAACCTACAAAATGAATAAACATGTCGTTTTGGTGTAGGGGGTGGGAGCAACAGGAGTGTGACTCCTCTGTTGTGGTTCTGCTGCAACACTAGCTGTCTCAGAAACACACAAATGGGTTTTTCTTTTGTATGTGCGTGGATTGTCCTCCCCTATGCTATGAGAGGAAGACCACCAGGGAGTTTGAGTTGTTGTTGAGGTGATGACATGAATGAGACTTTGGGTGATATCACACACTTCTGGATGATCAGGTGGTTATGAGTCCTCATTCAGGGGCGGTTCTGGGGGCGGGGCCACAGGGGCATTGGCCCCATTTGAAATCTGATTGGCCCCCTGAAGTGCCCCTGTCCTGTCACTCATCTGTCCTTCGCCCAAGAGTGGTTGCAGTTCCACTTCCAAACTGTGGTGGCGCTAATGAATCAAATAGGAAAGTCCAGCATGAAGCAAGCTCACGCAAGTCTATTTCGATTTGAATATTCCTGCAGAAAAGGTATTTTAACTGACAACAATGGCTGGATTTTCTCACATGTGTGTTTGAGTRTATTTTRTTCATGTACAGTAAAAATGCATGTAAAATTGATAAGGAAAATTTACAGTTTGAGCTTTTACAAGTGTCTCTGAACACGYGTGACTGATTAAATTTATRCTCCTTACAAAAACTGGGGATTTGTGTGCAAGCATGTTGAACAAATACTTGRCCCCTCTATGAATACTGTGGCCCCTGGATGGCCTCGTACCCTGGAAAAATCCAAAATTAGCCACTGTCCTCATTTATGTGCAGGTACAAAGTTCAAAGTGCCTCTGTTCTAAAATTATTCCACTTTAGTTACTGTAGTAAACTGGAAAACCTGTAAATACGTCACCAGGACTCATGGGAATTTTAAGTTGTTTTATTGACGTGGTTAAAATGTCACCATATTTAAAAAAAAGATCATTTCATTCTCACTGCAGCACTCAGTTCATAACAAGCCACAGAGAGTAAAAATGAGTCTCTTCTTTTAACTCTTTGCATTCTTCATCGCATTGAGCACAAGAAGAAAATGTTTTTTGTAATTTATTGCACAAATCTAAAAAATAACAAAGCTGTCACATGTCCATTAACCTCCCCTCCACCCCCAAATAAAATAAAATAAAATAAACAAGCAAAGCACCCCATCCAGGCCAAAGCCGAATTATTGTACAACGGAAGTAAAAATGCTTCAAGGAATCAGTGCTGCTTAGTGTTTAGCAACTTATTTTCCTAACATGCACATGGAACTGCTTACAGAGTTTGGCTTTAAAAAAAATTGTGTTTCAGTTCAGTTCCGTTCAGTTCAGCTCCTGTTCATATCCCAAGGGGAAACTGGTTTGCATAAAGCAAATGATGGATCCAAGCAGGTGTGGTTAGCTGAAGAGAGATCTACAGATTTCCTAACAAACCTCAACCTGTGGTGGTCTCAATACCCAGACAGGTGACAACATGAACAGCCGCAACCTTTTACTCATACGGCACTCGCATGCTTTGGGTCCACTTGTGTCCCCTTAGAGGGAATAGTCTCCACAAATCAATACAAAGTTGTTCTGAGAGATCACCTTTATCCACTCATGAAGGATCTCTACCCTGATGTGCACTGTCTCCTGCTGGATGGCAATCCCCACAGGGCGCGAGGAGTCAGGAAATGTTTTGATAAATATGAAAATAACTGGAGAGACATGCTATGGTTTGTGCAGTCAGCAGATTACAACACAACTGAATATCATTAGAAAAGGTTTTATCATTGCAGTGAAATTCCAGACTCGTAAAATCAACATTAATACACACAACATCTGCTCAGGCAGTGAGCAGCAAACCTGTTTAATTTGTCGTCCATCTGTACATGTTCAGGTGAAACGCTGTTAATTATTGTAAAAATTCAAATGCAAACAAATACCAGTGCCAACTAGTTTTGCACAGTGCTCAGAGAATACAACAAAATGTTTTTTTTTTCACACCGTGAGATGACAACTGAGTCTATTCTGCATGTTGAACATTCTCAGCACATCAGCGGGAGAAGTTCATTAAAAACCCACTGTTGCCTAACTCTGTACTCCTTCAATTTTTGATTCATTACATCCATAATATTCTACATTGGTTTGTCTCCAACCTTTATATCCTAAGCAACCCTCGCTGCAAAGTGGAAGGAAAGAACTCATTGTTTTTCATGAAGACTGCCTGCATTACAATTTAAAGCCCTTTGTCTTGCATCGTGCTGGCAAATGAGTCTGGACAACCTCTAAACAAAAACTGTCAGTTTCCATTTAGGCTCATTGGGGACTGCAGGGATTTGGCAGGAAGGCAGCAGTGTCTTCCATGTGGAGCCTCATACTCATTTAGGCTGATGGTTATAAGTTGGAGATGAAGCTGGTGTTTTGCTACCTGAGCTCAGCATGCATCTTAGTCATTTGTCTGCAAGTCATAGTAATTTTCTTGAGCTGACGTTGAATCCTATCCTAATAAGTTTTTTTTATTTATTTTTGCCTCATTCATCAGGCCTCTTTCTCTAACTGGTGCACCTGGTGCCAAAACTGACACAAAAAAAGTTCAGTTATTTTAGCTCCCATGCACACGTCAGCGCCAACATCTCCACCCCCACAAAACACACATGCAGCCACAAATACCACACCTTCATTTCTGAGCTGAGACACCTTCAATCTTAATTTGAAGTGGGCCTAAGTTCGATAAAACAAGGGAATCTCTGTCAGTTTGTACGCATCRCAAAATCAAAGAAATTATTATTTTTGATTCAGTGTTTGTGGTTCTACTGACAGTTCGCAATATTAATGGCAGGGGAGCACATGTACTGCAGTGCAGCACTGGCACAATTGATTGAAGAAGCTGTTTGAATTTGCTGAACAACTTCTGCAGCAATGATGCCCCCTGGTGATCAAATGTAAAATTGCACACGTGTGTCTTGTGTTTCAAAATCAAGCTGTTTGTGACCTTTTTTGTGCTTTTTGTACAATCTGCAGGTCCCATCAGCAGCATCCTGGTAAACAAATATGGGAGTCGTCCTGTCATGATGACAGGAGGTCTGATATCTGGGATAGGTTTTGTTTCTGCCTCTTTTTGCAACTCTGTGGAAGCGCTCTACTTTTGTGTTGGCGTGCTAGGAGGTTTGTATTTTTTTATTATCCTTTTTTTAACTATTATTTTTTGGTTAGGTTGTAATCAAGCATTCTTACAATTGTTTGTTTTATTTATTTTAAAGGTTTGGGATTGTCCTTTAACCTTAATCCAGCCCTTACTATGATTGGAAAGTATTTCTTCAAGAAGCGACCTATAGCTAATGGGATTGCCATGGCTGGTAGCCCCGTCTTTCTCTCCACCCTGGCTCCTCTTAACACCTGGCTCTATGACCAGTTTGGTTGGAGAGGAAGTTTTCTGATCCTGGGAGGCCTGCTCCTCAATTGCTGTGTGGCCGGTTCCCTCATGCGGCCGATAGGACCCAAACCCAAACCTGCAGAAGCGAGCACAGAGAGGAAGACTGTGGTGCAGACCATCAACAGCTTCATCGACCTCTCTTTGTTTAAGCACCGTGGATTTTTGCTCTACATTATGGGAAATGTTGTCATGCTGTTCGGTCTTTTTGCGCCACTGGTGTTCCTTTCCAACTATGCAAAGAGCAAGGACATTCCTAAGGAGAAGGCAGCTTTTTTGCTCTCCGTGCTGGCCTTTGTTGACATGGTTGCTCGGCCATCGATGGGCATCGTAGCCAACACCAAATGGATCCGGCCCAGAATACAGTACTACTTTGCTGCTTCTGTGTTGTACAATGGCGTCTGTCATGTTCTAGCTCCGATATCGGTTGACTACAAAGGCTTCGTCATTTATGCCTGCTTCTTTGGCTTTGCTTTTGGTTGGCTGAGTGCAGTGCTGTTTGAGACGYTGATGGATCTAGTGGGAGCTCAGCGCTTTTCAAGTGCTGTTGGGCTGGTCACTATCATGGAGTGTGCGCCTGTGTTGCTAGGACCCCCGTTGCTCGGTGAGTATGCGACCCACCACCACAGTTGACTAAACTGTCACACACACAAAAAAAGCTAAAAAATTGAATTGTACCTATTTCTTTTGTTTGGTTTTACAGGAAAGTTCAAAGACGTCTACCATGATTACAAGTACACATACCAGGGCTGTGGGATTGTCCTCATCATCTCCAGTGTGTTCCTATTTGTGGGGATGGGAATCAACTATCGACTGCTGAACAAGGAGAAAAAGGAGGAGGAGAGGAGGACCAGGATGGGAGTCAGAGAACCAAAGCCCAGTTCTGGCGGGGTTGAGGTTAAGAATACAGAAGACACAGTTTAGTGTTTCACGCCTTGTCAGCTTGTATTTTTGAACAGATAAAATCTTTTCAGTGAGGTCTGTGGAAYACTTAACATCAGCAAGCTTTTTTTATTTCACGTTGTGCTCTTTCAGATGACTGTCAGTGAAGCTATTTACTTATTTGCAACTGTTTGTTAAACATTTACAGATTTATTAAAACCCTTTAAGTTCTATTAAAAAATTATCAACATAAAATACCTCTATTAGTGAGACCAGTAAATAACATTCACATTTGCTTGTACTTTTTCAAAGTATGGCATTCCATATAGYCAATGATGTGTATTGCTTCTGAATTTACTATAGTCCATTAATATATTCTGTATTTTAACATTTTAATACCTATCAGTAATTGTTGTATGGGTTTTATGTTTTGAAAGAAATACTCTTCCTSTTGTAGTGTTCACTTGTTTGTATCTCACTTTCCTTTGTCACTAAAACCTCACAGCACAAGCTTTTTGTTTGTCACTCAGACTGTTTATCTTAATGATACCGAAGACAAGTTTTAATTTTACCAGTATATTTTTATATAGCCTACTTATAATCAGTCAGTTATGAATATGCTGTGGTTTGTAAAACCGTAATGCACAGCTTTGTGTGTTAACATGAACTTATAACATGTATTGTGTATATACGAAAGCTTAAAAAATAAAATTGAAGTTAACTTACATATGAATTATTTCCTCTTTTTTGGATCTGTGAATTTTATATGACTAATACAAAAAATTAGAGACACATTTATATATGTAATGGACCCCTTCAAAAAACAAACTCATATTAATAACCACCTAAGAGACATACATTGAATATTTATTATAAACATATGGCTTGCTGCCTATAACAAATTTAGATGAGCAAACTATATTTCACTTACAAATCGTAAAGTGTTTTTTGGAGATTATTATGTGAATGTGTTCATGACTCAGCCAGAATCTGTGTCCCAC